TTTTCAAGCTTCACTAAATGCCACTGAATGCCCCCACCAAGTTGAACTGTGCCCGTGTTCAAAGTTATGGAGTATTTTCGCCACAGTTCAGATTGTGGTTGCAAAGGACTGTTCCAGGAGGGGCAACACCCCAGCGCTGGCATCACAACTCTCTCGGAAACTCAATCATAGTTGAGTTTACAGGGTGCAAAAGCGGGTACTTTCGATCCGAACTATCAAACGTTGGCTGGTATTGGTGGCGATGTGTTTGGAGCAGACAAGAAAGGCCGCTGGAGGTGGGTGGTGGAGGAGGCGCGGCAAAGGCGGCGGAGGCGGCGGAGGCAAGCCTGTGGCTCCTGCAAACCAGGTGAAATTGCCTCTTCTGTTTTCGAGGAGCCTTAGATGGGTTCTGATTAGTAGATGGTAATCCAGGGTACCATCCATTCACCTAAAAATAAGAGCTTGTTCAGAGCGCTGTTCGGCTTTGAGGGGGCATTTTTCACTGTTTTGCACCATCTGATTTTGGTGAGACCTGTGAACTCTAAGCTGCCAAAGAGGTCAAATTAACTGTAATGATCACAGGTACTAATGGTTACTGACAGGGTTTTCAAGCTTCACTGAATGCCACTGAATGCCCCCACCAAGCTGAACTGTGTCTCTGTTTACAAAGTTAAGGGGTTCTTTCGCCACAGTACAGATTGTGGCTGCAAAGGACTGTTTTTGAAGAGCAACAAACCAGCGCTGGCACCACAACTCTTGAAAACTCAATCATAGTTGAGTTTACAGGGTGCAAAAGCGGGTACTTTCGATCCGAACTATCAAACGTTGGCTGGTATTGGTGGTGATGTGTTTGGAGCAGACAAGAAAGCCGCTGGAGGCGGTGGAGGCGGCGGCGGCGGAGGCAAGCCCGTAGCTCCTGCGAACCAGGTGCGTAAGCTACGGCTTTTTTGGTTTCCCAGTTAAAGTTGCTTGTCTCAAAATATGTTCAGGCCGCCAAAGCCGGTACATTTGACCCGAATTATCAGACATTGGCCGGAATCGGTGGCGATGTGTTTGGTGCAGACAAGAAAGCAGGAGGAGGAGGAGGTGGCGGTAAGCCTGCACCACCAAAACCACCAGCAAACCTGGTTCGTCCAAATCTGATGAGCAAGGTCGAAGCTTTATTCTGATTCATTTCTTTTCAAGGGTGCTAAAGCAGGCACGTTTGATCCAAACTATCAGACTCTCGCTGGAATTGGAGGCAACGAAGTGTTTGGTGCCGACAAGAAGAGATGATCTCGCTAATTTCCCAAAATTTTTTGGAAATAAAATTAATTTGATAGAATAAAATGGCCTAATATCCAAAGCGTTCAAGGAAAAAGATAGCTGAGGGGTGCCAAGCGGCGGCGCGGTTGTCGCGTCTCTCCACCCCCTTATCTTGCCACATCGTTTCGAAATTTAGAAGTAGTACACACGACACGGGTTAGGAATGGGGCCAGGAAGAGCCTCAAGAAGGAATGGCGGTTTCACTTTGGAACGCTTCCTCGCTCTTGAGTGTCTTCTCTTTCACAAACATGGATCTTACCTATCTGACTTGTACTGCCATGCTATTTCAATCAAGGGTCCCTACAAGATACCCTATATTTTTGGTGTAGCGGTTGTTTGCCCGCTTCAGTAGGGTATGTTGATGCGGGTGTAACAGTACCATAGGCATTTACCGAAACAACGACAGGGGCATTGAATCCGCTCGAACGCAAGCCTCTTTTCTGATTCTAGGCGCTTGGACAAAATCTTGCACCTCTCTGGCTATACAGATTTTCAGTCTTTTATTGTGTTTACCACCCCCCCACCAGCAATGGCGAAAATTTTGTTGCGATGTTAAAATATAGCTCTTAGGAAGCAATAAAAATGAAATGAAAAATTAATTAATGCTGAGTACCCTCTACCTAGCTTTTCCCGTTAAGGCACCTGTAAGTAGTAGTGCTGGACATCTTTTCAGAAACGGATTATCTCTGAAAATGTTCACGTCACTTCCGCAAAAGAAAGGACGTAACATTAGCCAAAATGCCAAAATTAATCCCCTCTAAAAGAACTGCAGATTTATCTGACACCCACGAGCACTCACTTGGTTTACTTTGAAAAGCAGCCCGCACTCCACTGTTTTGCACTGATGTTTCGGGAAAATGTGACGTTCTGGATCATATTTTTCCATAATAAGGAGACGAGACTCGGTTAAACTCACTCGAGGGCGGATAAGCAAGCCTCATAAATTAGTCACGTGGGCCGTTTTCGGATCGGGACCCAGTCCGTTTAATGTGGAACTATACCATTACGACGAAACAAGAAACAACGGAATGCACTCTGAACTTCTTGGAATTGCATCTGAGAGTGTTTAACCCCTCAGGCAGCAAGAAGTGCAGTCGACCAGCTCGCACCTAAAATACTTAATGCCCACGCTCTCTAGGTGCCCGGCACCTGTTGTGCACTGGCGCCAAGCGTTTTCTTTAAACCACAAATGATTCAGTACTAGATGTATATAACAGTCGTATTTCGCAAGCGGTTTTGTCAAGAAGAGATGGATGGTTTGGCACGGCATTTCCTGGTAGGAGGTAGGACTGTAATCAACATAGTCCGTATCAGTGTTTTTCCAGACACGGTCGTTGTCGTCACCCACTTGTCAACTGTAATCGAACGGACTGGCGGCCTAGCCAAACTCATTACACATCACTGACATAGTCCTCAACCTCAGCGAACAAGGCCTCTAACAAGGGAATGGTTTGAACTTCCCATGGAACTTTGAATGGAGACCTAGGTACATCGATAGAGCCTCGAATGCTGATTACGAATATGCAGATTAAAAGTGCTACGGGGACCTCCCAGACGAGATCTGGGTGGTCAAAGTTTGAGTTCTGGCTCGTAAGCGCTGCTGATCGATGCTCGGCAGTGGCCACCGTGGGTTCGTGGTAATGGTCTCGCTTTCAAGTCAAACGCATGCGGGTTTGCATCCGGTTGGCGCGAAAATTTTTGCTTCGCTCCGTATAAGAGCTTCAACTCTAATTTTCGAAATTCTTCCGAATTTACGGCCCAGCAGGGCAAGTAGATCAAGTACATCAAGTATACGACGTACTCGATCTAGTATGGATTTGGTCATATCTGCCTCTCTGAACATATTACCCATCCGACAATTCAAAGTTTTGCCCAGAATCGCAATTTGGCCAGACGAGCGTTTTTTCGTCGAAGGATGTGATATTCGTGTTCAGGGGGTCGAAATCTCCCATGAACGAATTTCTCGCTAAAACTTTGAATTGTCGGATGGGTAATATGTTCAGAGAGGCCAAATCCATACTAGATCGAGTACGTCGTATACTTGATGTACTTGATCTACTTGCCCTGCTGGGCCGTAAATTCGGAAGAATTTCGAAAATTAGAGTTGAAGCTCTTATACGGAGCGAAGCAAAAATTTTCGCGCCAACCGGATGCAAACCCGCATGCGTTTGACTTGAAAGCGAGACCATTACCACGAGGCCACGGTGGCACTGCCGAGCATCGATCAGCAGCGCTTACGAGCCAGAACTCAAACTTTGACCACCCAGATCTCGTCTGGGAGGTCCCCGTAGCACTTTTAATCTGCATATTCGTAATCAGCATTCGAGGCTCTATCGATGTACCTAGGTCTCCATTCAAAGTTCCATGGGAAGTTCAAACCATTCCCTTGTAAGGAGGCAAATAGCTGGATCGAGAAACAAGTCAAAGTCATTCTTCGTAGAGTAGCTTCTCAAAGGCTGAACAGTGAGTGCCCACACCTCTAACTTCTGTAGCGTAACTTTGGAAGTCCTCAGCTCTTCAACTTCATTTGAAACCCATTTGTTGAATCTGCGACCCCGTAGTGTTCTGATAACGAGTAGAGGCTGTTCCTCGATGACTTGTTAGCCGTGCCAGTCACGCAGAATAATCCGCGAGAATCCTTAGTTCCCAATATCGTCATGAAAATCATGACGACAAATGTATCGTTGACGTAATTGGCTAGAATATTGGATGTAAAGACAAATTGACTGTACGGGCTTCCTTGCAATATATGAGATGGTGGTAGCGATCAAAGGCGACATGCTGGACGAGCCTTACAGTAATATGCGGCTTAACTTTCTAGAGATCTGAAGTTAACACGACATCTCCGTGAACCTAAATGGCTATTCAATTCAAAAATCTGCTGCTGCAAACTGAGCAGCTTTTGCAGCTCTAGAAGTCATGTATTCACCTGAGAATCGCAGAGTACATTAGGAGCACGAGAATGCTGAGTTATGGGCAAAAGTCGAACCCCAGGCGGGAGTCGAACCCGCACCTCACGCTTTCCGGGCGAGTGCGCTATCCGTTACGCCACCAGGGCCGCTTTTTGCCGGAGTTCTCAGTTTGCAGCCGCAGATTTTGAAATTAAATAGCTATTCAGGTTTCACAGAGATGTTGTGTTAACTTCACACTCTAGAAAATTAAGCCGCATATTAGTGTAAGGCTCGCCAGTCTGTCGCCTTTCATCGCTACCACCATCTCACATATTGCAAGGAAGCCCTACAGGCCATTAAAGGCAGTTGGCACGATAATTTGGTACTCGGCCTAAAATGCTAGCAGGGCGCTGTGTAGTGGGAAAATGGCGAAAAAACGAAGTGAAACGGTCAAAAACCTGCGAAGAAAAGCCTTCGTTCTTAATGACTCAAAAAGCAATTTCGGACGAGTTTCCCGTAGGCATCTTGCCAATAAGCGCTACGGTAGGTACGGCTGCACGCATGCACTCATATATCCATGCAGCATCGCAGTAAAGCGGTTCGCTTCCTATTGTACTTCGGAAATGAAGCGATAGCGGAAATGAAGCGATACATAGAAGCATCGAGATCGGTCGTCCATTTGTGGGCGGGCGGGCGCGCTGGGCGTTCGGGTCGGTTTGTTACAACTTGATAGGCCCTTATCGGGGTTCCTTCTTTCGGCAGCGCCTGCTCAGGGTCGCAAAATTCCGTCCTGCCAGCCGTGTTAGTCCTGCTCGTGTTAGGGATTTATTGGGCCAACTGCCTTTAGAAGCACACTTCACACTCTATTGCTGATCTCAGGGGTTCTCTATTCCAGTGGTTAACGTTATCGCAATTTTACTAGTTCTGATAGCTGCTTGGTGATCTCTTGCCCCTCTCTTTCAAAGAGTTTTAGAGAGGAGCGGTGTTGGGAACAGGGTTCAGCATCGTGATGTGTGAGATGGTGGTGTCAGTACGATCCCCCCACCACCTAAGCGAGAGTCTCGGACGACCTCCCCCTTCTCCAACACCAGCCAACCGATTTCGCCCACATCTTCCATTTTTTTACTCAAGGATTCAAATGAAACAGGAGAAATACCACTAGAAGTCAACAACCAGGACATTTTTTTCCAAAAGCGGCCAATTTCTCTCAGACCCACATACGATCACCCTCTCCCAACAACGACCAGATACGAATCCCCTCCGTCCCCAGCGAAAAGTACGACCCCCCTATGTCTTTCGCACAACGATGCTGTACCCTGGTTGGGAAAGATTTCTCTGCCCTTTGCCCTGCTCTGCCGCCCTCTGGCGTCTAACCTTTGCGTATTCGCCAGGAAATGACCTGGGTGGAAAGAGGAAATTAAGCGTGTGATCGTTCTTTGAAGCCATTGAATAGGTAGTATCTTCTAGTAAAATTGCATATGCGTAAAGCCAAGCAGCCCTCTGAGACGACATGAATGGAGAGAGCATTAGTTACATCAGATAATCAGATTTCCTTCCCTGACATATGAAGAGAGTGCTCCACTTTGAATCCATGCTCGTGTTGCAGATATAATTGTGCGCAGAACTCTGATGCCTCAGTTTACCCCATAAAAAGCTATTCAGTCGCAATTTCCGCACACGGAAATTCAACAAGCTATTTTTCATTACGATCTTCGCCCCCTCCCCGCTATTTTTTCCTTTTTCCCTAGTATTTGATGGCATTGGGCACGCGATGATGCGATGAAACGATTTTTGATCCTTAGGTTGCAAGCTGCAGAAAGGCCACGCGGTCCTTATTGTGGACAATGTTCTTCTCTGTTTTCTGCTTTTTCCTATTGGAGAGTTCC